TCCTCCTTCTTCTTCTCCTTCTCCTCCTCCTCTTCTTCTTCTTCTCCTCCTCCTCCTCCCCCTCCTCTCCCTTCTTCTTCTTTTTAAGTGGGGCTCCAACATGGGGCCCGAACTAATGACCCTGAGATCAAGACCTGAGCTGAGATAAGAGTCATGTGCTTAACCAGGTGAGCCACCCAGGTGCCCTGCCTTTCTATTCTCTATCTCCTGGGATTCTTTTTGTCTGTCAGAAAGCTGTAATGTGCCTTTTTTGTTAAAAGGAGGGTTGAGGGAGACTAATGGGTAATAACATAACATGTTAAGGAATATTATTGAGGTTTCTTCTGGTATCAGTCTACTAGGGCTGCCATAACAAAAATGCCATAGATGGGGGGCTTAAACAACAGAAATTTATTTCTCACAATTCTGGAGGCTGGAAGTCCAAGATCAAGGTGTTGGCAGATTTGATTTCTCCTGAGGTCTCTCTCTCTTTGGCTTGCAGATGGCTGCCTTCTCACTGTGACCTCACATGGCCTTTTCTTTGTGTGCACACATCCCTTTGTGTGTCCAAATGTCCTCTTCTTATAAGGACAGTGGTCAGACTGGATTAAGGCCTACCCTAGTGGCCCCATTTTAACTTAATCACCTCATTAAAGGCCCCATCTTCCCTCCCAAGTCACACTGTGAGGTAATGGAAGTTAAGGCCTCAATATACAAATGTAGGGCCTGGAGGGAAACACAATTCAGTCCATAATACTCCTTGAGATCAAGACTGAACCTGTTTCAAAACCCAGAGATTTAAGTAGAAAGTGCCTGGTTGTTTCTAGCTTTTATGTTGAATATAGAAGTGAACTTATCTAGTCTCAGAGTCCTATGATGTTTTCCCTGAGAAGGGTTAGGTTAGCTATCTCTATTACTCCTCTACTTGTGTGGGGGCTTAGGTAGAAAGACCGGGATAGACCACTCAGAAAATGGAACAGGAATTAAGACACACACAAAAAACGAATACTAGAGAAACAAGTATTAGCTATTTCAGCCTGTAGGGCCTCAAATGAAATGTATGCCTCCTTGAGTGTCATGATCATCATTTATATAAAAATTATCAACTTCTGCCTCAGTCAGTTAAGCGCTGCCTTCAGCCCAGGTCATGATCCAGGGTCCTGGGATTGAGACCCGCATTGGGCTCCTTGCTCAGCTGGGGGCCCACTTCTCTCTCTGCCTTTGCCAGCCACTCTGCCTGCTTGTGCTCTCTCTCTTTCTCTCTGATAAATAAATAAATAAATAAATTCTTTTAAAAAAATTATCAATTTCTAAAAACCTCCAGGAGCTTTTTTTTTTTTTTTGGTCCATTAGAGAAAGCACCAAATCCCATGGCCTTACCTCAGCATCCCACCTTACCCAGGCCCTTGGCTCTGTTTCTGCTGGCCACCTCTCTAACCCACCTCAGGCCAACTCTGACTAGACTCTGTGCCTGGAGCTTTCTCAGCCCTAGCTACCAAGATGAGGGGACTTGTAGCTTCAAGCTCCCCATACCCTCTTCCTTTCACAGGAGCTTCCTCACCTCTTCTGCCCAGGGTGCTCACTCTGTCTCACTTCATCTCCTAGAGACCAGGCTCTTATTTGTGCTGTGCTCCGTCTCATCAGCCAAGTTTGATCCTTATTCCCCCACACTGTCCACTTGTAACGACTAATGATGAAAGACGTGCCTCCCTTAGTATACGTGCTGCCGAAGCGAGCACGATATGTCTCCCTTAATAAGAGGCAGGAGTTCATATTAAAGAGTAGATGTCTACTTTAACAAACAGTTTCTTTATAGCGATTCTAGAAATATAAAAATAGCCCCAATTGATGAATTTGTATTTTATTCTCCTATAGATCTTAGTACAGTTTTTCTATGAGTCAAAGCCAAGTGAATTTCCTTAAAAGTTTCTGGGTTGAAACAGTTTTAAGTTCAGAGGAAGTTGCAAAAACACTACAGAGAGGTCCTGCGTACCCTCCATCCAAAATTTCCTATTTCCTATCCATCTTCTAAATGATAGTTCAGTATTCAAATCGGGAAATTGACACAGATATAATCCACAGACCTTACTCAGATTTCACCAGTTTCATGTGCAATCATTTGTGTAGGTGATGCTGGACTGTTATCACATATGCAGATTTGTGAAACCACCAGCACAGCTGGGATACAGAACTATTCCATCACCACAAAGATCCCTTGTGCTACCTCTTTAGAGCCAAACCCATCTGCCTCCCCCAACTCCTTCCCTAACCCCTGGCAATAACAAATCTCTTCTCCATATGTATAATGTTGTCCTTTTGAGAATGCCATATTAGTGGAATCATTAAGGGAACTGCCTTTTTCACTCAGCATAATTTCATTGAGCTCCATCCAAATTGTTGCACATATCATTAGTTTGTTTCTTTTTATTGCTCTAGAGTGTTTTCGAACACCAACAAATTCTTCAGCACCAGCTGGGTGCCCAATAATGTAATTCAATTCTGACATTAACTAGTGAGCCTCAGATGCCAGAGGTTTAAGGGTTTGGTCCCATATGACTGTCCTAGTCCAGACACCAATTACAAGTCCCAAGCCACCCATGTTTCTGATCAACCAGCTATAAATTGGGAATCCCCACAACCTCTTTCTTAGGTTTGATGATTTGCTAATATGACCTGCAGAGCTCAGGAGAATACTTTGTTTACTTCTATTGACTGGTTTATTATAAAGGATACAACTTAGAGGGCGCGTGGGTGGCTCAGTTGGTTAAGCGACTGCCTTTGGCTTAGATCATGATCCCGGAGTCCCAGGATCGAGTTCCGCATCAGGCTCCCAGCTCCATGGGGAGTCTGCTTCTCCCTCTGAACTTCTCCCCTCTCACTCTCTTTCTCACTCCCTCTCTCAAATAAAAATAAATAAAATCTTTAAAAAAAATAAAATTTGATGTTATTTAAAATAAAAAAGGATACAATGTAGGAACAGCCATGTGGAATTAATGTATAGGGCAATGTATAGGTGAGTGTGTGTGTGTGCGCGTGTGTGCGCGCGTATGTATAGTTTCAATACCTTTTTCTGGAAGATCTCTGAATCTCATTATTCAAGAGTTTTTATAGAGCTCCTCCTCCAGCCCCTCTCTCTCTTCCTGAGGTTGGTAGGTGGAGCTGCTGGTTCCAACTTTCTCATCACTCAGTCTTTCTGGTGACCGGCCCCATCCTGGGGCTACCTAGGATCCCCACCTTAAGTCACCTTACTAGCATGAACTTAGTTTGTGATTGGAAAGGGGCTCCTTATGAATAACAAAAGATACCCCTATCACTCAAAAAATCCCAAGGGTTTTAGGAGCTCTGTGCCAGGAACCAAGGATGGAGATGAAATATATTTTATTTTACACCACTGGGAAGATGTACCACACTTGGCTCAACCATTCATTGAAGGACTTTTGAGTCATTTCCAGCTTTGGCTAATACAAATGAAGCTTCTATAAATGTTCATGTGCATGATATTGTGTGGACATATGTTTTCATTTCTCTGGGATAAATGCCCAGGAGTACAATTGTTGGTCATATGGTAAGTATATGTTTATTTTTAAAGTTTGAGGGTAGCCAAGACAAATATATAAGTTCTGTGGGCTCATAACAAGTAGCCCCTCCCTGAGGAAGTCAGAGAAGGCAGTAGAATTTAGATATTAAAATTACAAACTATATTCAGTAGACTTGGTTTTGAACCTGAGCATTTCACTTTCTGGTGAGAGACTGAACAATTTAACTCTTTGCTTCGGTTTATGGTTCTGCAAGATGTGGATAGTGACTGCCACTAACTCCAAATGCTATCATGATTATTAAACTGAAAAAAAAAATAATGTAGCGTGCATAGCACTATGTTTAGGACATAATGGTCAATAAATGTGACATATGTAATAGATGCTATTTGTGTCTTGCTTCTGTCCCCGGGGCACTTATCTTTCTGTCCATGAAAGCTCAGTGTCCATTAATGAGCAGCTATGACTCTTCCTGAAGGTTTCTGAGCACAGGTGGGGGAGGTTGAAAATGTGATGGAATTAATGCTGCTCAGGAACAGTCCTCAACAAATGACTGATAGGAGTTGGAAATATACTTTCATGAGATGAACCAAATATCCTGGTTTGCTTAGGACTGAGCAGTTTCATGGAATCTGGGTCTTTCGGTACTAAAACCCGCAGTCCTGGAAAACTAGAATGGTTGGTCAAGCACCTCTCGTGGACAATCTTCCCTTCTATCTCTCTCCCTCCACTCCCCTAACATGGTTTCCCAGAGCCATCTCCAGGGCCAACCTAAGACAACTGCTTCTTGATCTCCCCAGAAGATGAAAGATGTGAGGTGAGAAAGAGTTGTTGCAGAAATAAGGTGTTGCTGATGCAGTTGCAATGGCAAAGGTGCCATGGGATCTTTGGGCAGGTGGACCAGAAAAGTGTGCAGGAGGGGTGAGTGTGGAGACCCCACGAAAGTTTGGGAACCAGAAGAGAATGGTTGGATTTTCATCTACCGTTGGATGAGAGTCATTTGTGATGAGGAGAAGCAACTTGCCTGTCAAATGCTGACAAGTTTGGTATCTCTGATGTGGGGGCTAAGGCTGTGGCTTAGTAGGAGCTGAGAGAAGAGGAGGTTGTGGCAGATCAGGGAGCTGACAAGAGCTTGGGCCAGGTTGTTGCAACAGGCTGGGGAAAGTTGAGAAAAAGTTGAAAGCAGCATCTTTGTGGAAGCATGGATGTGGGGAGGGAAGTACAAAGGTGACTCTAAGAAGAGTACAGTGACATTCCTTGTTTGGGGTGTGTGGAGGTGTCAGGCAAGAACTCCTCAGGCATCTACCAGCAGCCCAGCACCATGGCTGCCCACTCTGCAGTGGTGGTGTGGTTCACTACAATGAGGAGGCCCTTCAGTGGACAGGTAGTAGAAAGGCACGAGCAGCTCTGTACTTCCCTGGGAAGTTTGAAGGATGCATGAAGACACAGATCCTGATATATTTCTTGTTGTGATTGTCTTTCCAGGTTCTTCCTCAGAGTGGGTCCAGACGGAAGGAGGCCAATGGCTGCCATGCTCAGAGCTGTGTCAGGGGCCTTTAGGGGTCTTCGTAATTCCTCCATGCCTCTGTCAGCAAGAATGAGCAGCAATAGTGCAGACAGGAGCTGCGCCCTGGCTGAGAAAGTGGCTGTGATCACTGGGTCCACAAAGGGGTAAGCGAAAGGGAATCCCTCACTGCAATATCACAAGATGTTAGTGTCCCCATCCCAGAGTGAGCTCAGCAATCAGTGCCCTTCTCAGACATCCCTGCCTGACACTCCCACAGCTCCAGCATTTACAATGAACTCTAAATCTTAGCAACTCTCCCTAAAACATCTGGTTCCTGAGTTCCAAGAATGATGTAGTTGGAAAACCAGCTGATTCTGAGTCAATCAGAGTAGTGTTGGAATCTAATCTCTGCCACGTACTTGCTGGGTAACCAGAAGACATTTAACTTGTTATCATCAGGACAGCCCTCTTTCCCTGTCCTTCCTAGGCACATCACTGTGGTCTTTTAGGGTCCTGGTCTATCAGGGAGAAGCCCAAGACCTACTTGCCTCTCAGACTCGGGGTTTCACTGGCTGCATAATGCCCACCGGCAGTAAGGCAATGGGCAGGACAACATCTCAAGACCAACTCAGAGACCTTTTATAGATGAACCTCCCCTTCTGCCATGTTTCTTTCAGTGTCCCTCTAGTTCTGCTCCTCCTCTAATTGCCACAAGGAGCCATGATCTGTAATGAGTCATTAGTGCAGACAGGAGGAGAGGAGGCTTCTGGTGTTGAGTGCTTCAGGACCACCATCTTCCTTTTGACTGTTCATGGTCTAGACCATCACTAATTTGGACCATTCCATTTTAGAACTGCTCAATCATTCCAGGTTTCCCAGACCCACATGGTGTTTTAAATTTTTGTGTGGGCTCCCCGTGCCCAGCCTTCATGACAAATGAATACCTCCAAAATGCCAACCTGCCCAGAGAGTTTCCAGGAGACAGGAGAAATATGCCTTCTGCCTTTTCATTACTGGGGCTAAGCCAGCCCCGCCCAGAGCAGCTTCAGACCTCTTAAAGTAAGGAGTTGCAGAGTGGACAGAACATCTTTTTCAGCAGGGAAGTTTTTCCACTGCAGAGCAGAAGAAACTACTGGGCTTAGGGAAAGGAATTCCTACCAGAGGCCTCTGGTTAGAACTAAGGGAGAGAATGTTGGGCAGCTGAGGGTTCTCTATAATCGAGGATGAGTGCACAGCACATTTACAAATGTTCATTTTAAAACCTTCCTTTTGGGGTGCCTGGGTGGCTTAGATGGTTAGGCATCTGCCTTCGGCTCAGGTCATGATCCCAGGGTCCTGGGATCGAGCCCCACTTTGGGCTCCCTGCTTGGCAGGGAGTCTACTTCTCCCTCTCTCTCCCTACTGTCTGCCCTGCTTGTGCACTCTCACTCTGTCAAATAAATAAATAAAATCTTTAAAAAAAAGACTGAATAAATAAAACCTTCCTTTAACAAAATTAACGTGAAAATTTTCTCCCCTCTAAAATATGATTGTTATACATGGTAAGACTTATATGAGGTAGCCTTGGTGAAGGCCTGATGTTTATAGTCATATTCAATTGTTCTTCCTCCCTGCTCGGAAGGATTTGGAGCAGCTCTTGGGTCATACTGTGTAACTCAATCTGTGTCTCATGATCAGGCTACTACGGGGAGAATGGGAAGGGAATAAAGCCACCACAGCCATCTCTGCCCACAGGATCGGCTTCGCCATCGCGCGGCGCCTGGCCCAGGACGGGGCCCATGTGGTCATCAGCAGCCGGAAGCAGCAGAACGTGGACCGGGCAGTAGCTGTGCTACAGGGGGAGGGGCTGAGTGTGACGGGCACTGTGTGCCACGTTGGGAAGGCTGAGGACCGGGAGCGGCTGGTGGCCACCGTGAGTGCCAGGGTTGGAAGGCAGATGGGGACAGGCAGGCTTATCCCTGGTGGGAGGGGCTGGAGGTCTCCAGCATTGGTGTCTAGGCCAGCAACACATGTGACCCAGGATAGGGTCCTGCTCAAGGGATAAAACAAACGGACAACCAGTGTTGTGTCAGTGTGGCTGACAAGAGATGCTCCGGGTAAGGAAGGAACTCACATGGCCTAGACTAGAGGCTTGTTATCAAAGGGTAGTCTGATGACCCCTCAGTGGGGCATGTCCTGGGAACTTGCTGGGGACCCAGAATTTCAGATCTCCCCAGAGCTGCTGAATTAAAATCGCATTTAACCAGACTCCAGGTGAGTGTACTTGTTAGAGTTTAAGCAGCACAGTGCTAGTGCACCCCAGGTGTTGGGTTGGGGAGCCCACTAGAGTCACAGTCTGGTTAATCATGTGGTTAAGACCAGTCCTGGAAGGAGTGAGCTGTGAGGCAGAGGTGAGAGAAAGGGCAATGTAGAAGCAGCGACCCCATGAGTGAAGATCTGGACTGGGGAACGAGCTACCAAGTGAGTATCTTGTGGGGCAGAAATTAGATGCTTCCAGGAAGGTGAGAAACAAATATCTCACTCAACTTCTGATCTCCAAGGTCTGACTCTGCCCCAGGATGGCCCCAGGCAGGAAGGGGTTACTCACTTTGCTCTAGGTCATCAGTCTGGCTAGGGAAGGAGAGAGGCTTCTGGGAACCTTTTATTCCATTCCTTCAACCCCTATCCTGACATTTTCTCCACAGGCCCTGGAGCATTGTGGGGGCGTCGACTTCCTGGTATGCGTGGCAGGGGTCAACCCTTTGGTGGGGAGCACTCTGGGGGCCAGTGAACAGGTGTGGGACAAGGTGAGGACTGGGGTAGGATCTTACACAGCCTGCGTGGTTCTCTGTCCACATTTGCACACACACACATAGTACCTAAGGTCCCTCATACTCCTGTCACTACTGACTTTGATGGGTGGGGGATGAGGTCACCTGGGTCAAACCACCCATCAGGAAGCTAACAGGCACTGGTCTCCATATGCCAGGCACCAGCAGCCTTCCCTCTCTTAGGACTCTCCAAGTTGACTCTCCTTGTTCTGGCCACTACTACAAAGTCCTGAGACGCCAGAAGAGATTTCTGGTCTGTCTATGGTGAAGGGTTCTGAGGATGTTCCGGTCTGGACTCATGGGCACCCACTCTGATCCCTTCAGTCTGGCTGTCCCAAGGGTCCCTCAGCTGTCCACAGACACAGCTGAGAGGAGGGACCCCCATCCAGACTTGCCATCCTATCTGGAATCCACCAAGCATTCTAGGGGCTTCTGTTGCCCCTGCCCTCCTGCCCCTGCTATCCTGGAGGTCCCCTGAGAGGGGTCGGCACAGTCCTGACCCGCCCCCTCACCTTACGCTATAGGCAGAGATAGGTCCGTGGGCAGGGTGAGCCATTGCCTCCTCACGGAGTCTTCTTCCGCTGACCGGCTCCTGCCATCTGTCCTTGCAGATCCCGCCCCACCTCTGTTTGTTTCTCACATTCCCTGGTCTTCTGGACCCAATTCTCAGTTCCCCCTTCTCAGTCCTCAGTCATTCTCAGACTTTTCCAATTAAAAACAAAACAAAACAAAACAAAACCAGTTCAGAACATTTCCTGACAGACTGAGTGCTCAGTGTGGATTCCCTCTCTCTTTCACACTTCCCTTAAGGCACTCACCAAAAACAAATCATCTTGATTTCTTCCCCCCTTCTCTTTTCTCAGGCCTCCTCTCTGGAGGGCCATGTTGACTAGGGAGAGGTGGTGTGGATACCAGCCGCGGGAGGGTCTCCCAAACCACAGCTTGTTGGTGGTTCTCCTATGATCTGGGCAGGACAGGAACCTGAGAATCCGACACAGGCCCTCACATTCTTTCTCCTGAAGGACCCTGTCCATCGTACACAGTTAAAGATCAGGACCCAAGTTCTGAGGCTATCGGAAGTGCCTTGGGTCCTGCTCTGGCCACGGGTCTCCAAGTGACCAGTAAGAGTGCACATTGGACAGACCTCATCTCTCCCTCTTCTCTGCTCTGATTTCAGATCCTGGACGTGAATGTGAAGTCCCCGGCCCTGCTGCTGAGCCAGCTGCTGCCCCACATGGAGAACAGGGGGTGTGGCAGGGAGGGGCTGGTGGGCCCTGGGGTCTTCGTGCATGGGTGTCCTGTACCCTACATGAAGCACTTGGGCAGGAGCCCAGGAAGTGGAGGGTGGCGGGAGAAGAGGGAGGTGTGTCCTTTGGGACATGTTCTCCATTCTCAAACCTACCTTCTTCCCTACGGGATGAGACAATTCTGAAGAAAAAAAAATTTGCTGGGAAGGAGGAGAAACCTGCCTTTCAGGTCCTCAGAGGACCTGTCATGAGCCCTTGCTCTTTTGATCTGAGAGAATGCAGGGACCTTGCTCCTGTAGTGGCAGCTCCAGGGAAGAAGGGTTAAGAAGGAGGTCACCTGGAACCCCAGCTCTGGTCCTTTGACTCCAGCCCTCCTCTGTGAGCCATCTCACCAGTTTCCCTTCTGGTTAGAGGAACTATGGCATTTGCTCCTCCTCAAGTAACCTGCAGAGCCTGGCTCTTCTGCGTTCTGGGCTACCTGGAAGCAGACCAGGCTGGGACTGCTTGGTGGCACACTGAGCTCACAGGAGTCTGTGGCTTGGGAGTATTACTGGGGCTCTGCTCTTGGGAAGTGCTGCCTATCAGTCTTGGGTCCCCCACCCAAGGAATACCTCCCTGGATATGGTCACTGGGTAGCATTGACCCCATCATTGACCTACATGTCCGCTAGCTTCTCCCCAGTGTTCCAGATAGTCTCTCACCTTATCCTGAATCTTGAGCTGGCTTCCTCTTACTGTGAAAGTACAACTTCCTGGCTCATCTGGACTCTTAGGTGGATGCACATGTCATCTCATCCCATCCATCTCTTTACAGGACAGGCTCTGTGGTTCTGGTCTCATCTATGGTGGCCTATATGCCAATACCAGTGAGTATAAAACCCTTTGGATGGGGCTTGATGAGGGGCAGCAGAGTCTTGCTTTGTGTGAGGCCCTACAGTTGGGTGTGGGCAAACTGGTTAGTGACGGGAGTTGAGATGAACTTGATTGCTATAGATTTGGGACTATAATCTCACTTCGCCATAACATCTCTGAAAGCCAAGGATGTTAAATTGCCCAGGGTATGCACAGTTTATGGTAAAGCAAGTTCTGGGTTCTGGGATTTCCTCATTCCAGTTTCTTGGCTGAATGTTGGAAAGCACAGTGTGGCTTTCTCCATTTCAAGCTTGGACACATATGGCAGTGACTCCCTGGCATTTCTCTAAGCCTGGGCAAGGCCCTCTCTCTCAAAGCTTCACCCCTTGAAAATGACTGTAGATGGGGAAAGGTGGAAGAAGGGATTTTAGTTTGGGCCAAAATTAAGTGCATCTACTTAGTCTGAGACCCAGAACCACAGCTCCGGCCATTCAGGTGACATTCCCTCCTGCTGTAGACATTCCAATCCGCTCTGTCTACTTCCTTCTGCTTTTCAGAAGCTGGGAGTCTACAACATCAGCAAAACAGCACTGTTGGGTCTCTGTAAGTCTCTAGCTGTAGAGCTGGCTCCAAAAGGCATCCGAGTGAACTGCTTGGTGCCAGGAATAATCAAGACTGAATTTATCCAAGTGGTGAGGATCACAGTGTTTGCTCCCCAACACCTGCCCCATGGTCCCCACTGGTCCCTTCCCTGGTGTAGCTCCTGGGGCCCACAGAAACCTGCATAATAACTTCAGTCCAGGCCCATCAATCAGAGGCTCTACCCTGAAGCCTTTGGCACCAGTGGCCTCTCATTTCCCTGCAGAATGGAGTCTCTATTCTCAGTAGGGAGCAAAGAAAAGTTCTGCCCCACTCCCCTCTCCTGAACAGGGTCATCCTCCCACAGAGGTATCGATCTGCCACAATGCCATTCCCACCACCCCTGCCTTACCCCCACCAACAGTCCTTCTGCCTATCACTGACTCGGAAATCTCTCCCCAGGAGAAATCATTGCCATACTTGCTACCTGACTTGAATGACATCTATGGATTGCAGCGGTAGGTGGGGTTTTGTGGCTTTAATGGCCTGTGATTACTCTGAAGCAAAGTTCAATTTCAAGAAGAGACAGAGCTCTGACTTTCCAGTCTGCTGGCTGTTCCCTCTTGCTGGAGTCGAGAATGGCACAGCCTGGGACTAAGGGCTGGAGGGTGGGCATGGTCCTGCTGAGCCCACCATGACCTTCCCCGGAACCTGATTTGACTAGAATTCTTTGAGGTACTGGTCATTAGGGTCAACGCTGGACCCTGGGCCAGCAGAACCTAAAGTCGGAGGTTAACATTGCAAGGGGCTGTGACCTCAGTATGGCTCTCTTTCCTTCAGGTTTGGGGAACCCGAAGAGTGTGCAGGGATTGTGGCCTTCCTGTGCTCACCAGATGCCAGCTACATCACCGGCGAGAACATCATGGTAGCTGGCTACTCTCCTAAGCTGTGAAGCAGACTGTTAAGAGAATGGGGCCATGGTCCTTAGTGTGCAGCTGGGGGCTTGGTGGAGAATAAGGAGGTGGGGAACCTTAGGGTCCAGAATCATACAGGAAATGAGAAGGAGAGCAAGATGTTTGAAATTTCTCATTTGGAAATAAACATGTTTGGAAAACTCCCAGTCTGGGATCATCCTTGTTTGGTAGTGATACATGAGCATTTCCCTTGACCTGGAAGCCTCATCTCTAGATTAGTCCCTTCCCTTATCACCCCTAAGGATTTACCGCTTCTTCCCTTCCTTCCACCCTTCCCAATGAAATTGGAAATTGAGCAGGATACTTTCTATCTGCCCCTGTTTTTGTTTATTTTTATCTTTCAGGTCTCAGATCAAATAGAACCTCTGAGATACCTTCCCTTGACCACCCTGTGTAATTAATGTTGTTCCCACCCCAGTCACTTTCTATGACATTATCTGCTCTGTTTTCTTCACAGCATTTTTAACTCTTTGATCTTATTATTTTTACTTGTTTGCTTATTCATTATATACTTTATTCATTCAAAGGTAGGTTTCATAAGACCAGGCACCTTGTCTGTCGTGTTCATAGCCATGAACACCTTGCATATAAAAGATGCTCAATAAATATTTATTGAATGAGTTCACTGCCATCTTCCATTCTGGCTCAGTGATTCTTTTTTTTTTTTTTTTTAAAGATTTTATTTATTTATTTGACACAGAGAGAGAGAGAGAGAGAGAGAGAGAGAGAGATCACAAGGAGGCAGAGAGGCAGGCAGAGAGAGGGGGGAAGCAGGCTCCCCACTGAGCAGAGAGCCCGATGCGGGGCTCGATCCCAGGACCCTGAGATCATGACCTGAGCTGAAGGCAGAGGCTTAACCCACTGAGCCACCCAGGCGCCCCTGGCTCAGTGATTCTTATGCTCATGTTTCAGACTGAAGCTCATCCATCTACTAGAGATCATTTTAGGGAGCCCCACAAACAGATGAAACATGTTCATTTCTGGATTGGACATTATTTCTCTTTCTCTGATGACCCACTTTCCAATATAATTTTGCCTTTTAATATCACCTGGCAATCTTCCTACATGGTCTCACTTGGGAACATCTCTCTTTCCTTTCAATGTGTTTTGAAACAACAGACATTTTTTTCCCCTCCCAGCTCTGCAAGTTAGAGGTCTGAGATCAAGTTGTCAGCTGGGTTGATTTCTTCTGAGGCCCCTCTCCTTGCCTTGCAGATGGCTGCCTTCTCTCTCTGTTTTCACATGGTCTTTCCTCAGTGTGTGTCTGTGTCCTAATCTTGCCTTATAAAGACACAAGTCATATAAGACCTCATTTAACCTTAATTATCTCTTAAAGACCCTATCTCCAAATATGTCTTTACCCTGAGATGCTAGGGTTAGGACTTCACCATAGAAATTTGGAGGAGGGAACACAGTTTGGTCCAGAATATCAATCCTGTTAAGTCCTCTTCTGTCCCATCCCACCCTCCACCTTAAGAGTGGAGGCAGAAACAATTATCTAGGAACTCCAACTTCTCATTCTTCCTACTGCCTTATGAACTTGTCTGTGAGAAGTTCTCTCCTTTCCTCCCTCCCTCCACTCAGTGAAGGGTGTCCTCCCTGATTCCACCCTAACCTAAGATGGCTCCCACCTCTGCTCTAACTGGGCTTCTTTTCCCACGCTCTTGGGGTCTTTGAGCTGTCAGTTATTGCTTCATGTGTCTCTTTCGTACCTCCAGTGGCAAATTTAAGCCAGAGCCCTCGATCTACCACATCTGGCTCCACAGATCTCAAAACACTTCTGCACCCATGACAGGTTCTTTTCATGTTATTTTGTTTGGGACTCTGCCGGGGACTATGGGCTCCTTGCCTGGAGTAGGTGTTCTATGCAATTATTTCCCTCCACTGTCTGGGGAGAGGAAGGATGGCTTCTCCTTTTTAGTGCCTATATTTACTCTCCCCTTTGGGAGGGCAGGTGGGGAGGCCAAGTGGTGCCAGTTCAGTAAGTCCTAGTTCACTCGTGATGTGGAGAGCTGCTGGCAGTCACTCTTCTTCCTGAATCAGGAGGAAGAGTTTGTGGGCTCCCAGAACTTTTTGCTGCCCTCTTGGCTTCCTTCTTTCCAGAGCCACCTGTACTACCTCTTCCCTTAAAAGCCGTTTTCATTCCATGTCAGAAAAATCATTTGAAACTTGGAAATAGGGGCACCTGGGTGACTCAGTTGGTTGAGTGACTGCCTTCGGCTTGTGTCATGGTCCTGGAGTCTCAGGACTGAGTCCTGCATTGGACTCCCTGCTTAGCAGGAAGTCTGCTTCTCTCTCTGATCGTCCTCTCATGCTCTCTATCTCATTCTTTCTCTCTCAAATAAATAAATAAAATCTTAAAAAAAAAAACTTGGAAATGGACAGAACAGCTGGCAGAATATTTTCAGTGCAGTGTTGGGCTTGACTTTCTGTCATCTCTGAGCAAAGGTTAATGTGTAGGGTTTTTGTCTATTAGAGATGCAAATAATCCTGTCTATTAGAACAGACAATCCCAAAGGTTATGGTTTATTGTCTCATTGGAAGTTAAGCAGTTTTGTCTAATTGCCAAATCTTATTCTAACATTTCCTATCAAAACCTAGCTTCTCGAATGTTCTCTGAATTAGTCTTAACATGTTATTAGTTCTCTCATTAATTAAGCAGTCAGATCAGATTTGACACCTGTTCCTTTTTTATTTGTATGAGAATCATTGTGGGGTTTTTTTTTGAAAATTACTCTTTAAAACTGTTTCATTGTATGCAGGAATAAACAAAAAGGAGAGGATTAGATTTTGCTGTAGAACCATTTTTATAAGTTATGCTACTGAACTTCTCTCTCTCTATTATTCGTTTACCTTTCACATGAAAAATTGTTTAAATCCTCTTTCATTCATAAAGAGAAAGCTCCAGGAATCCTTTATCATCCTGTGGCTGCCATATACTACCTTCTTTGTTTGACAAAGTGGTTTGAAAAAGTTGTGCGAGTTGTTTAAAAACTTGTCTAATGTCGAAGGTGATACGTGAAAAACATCATAGAATACCTAAAAATTAATGTTAGACGGGTGTGAAAAATTTCATGTCTCCGTGAGGTCATCCCTCCTGCCTTTGCTGCCAAGTTTTGATCTCTGCCAGGCATTTGCAGGGTCTCCACTGACCCTCAATCTCAATCAGTTTTAACTACCTCTCAAAGTAAGTGAAAGCTTCCAGTTTCAACACCTCTGCACAGACTTGCTCTTGTATCACCATAGAAACAAGACCCTCAAGGTGGAAAAAGAAAATACACATTTTAATGAGGAAGACTGCCGTAAGATAGGGACTAATGAGCTGAACAGCAAACAGAGTGGAAGTTGGAGTAGGCAGGAACTGGGTGGCAGCAAGCGCCGTCGGAGGAAGGAGACTGATGTCTTCTTGACCTCAGAAGGGAGAGACGAGATGTGGAGTCTAACTACTGTTTTTTTTTTTTTTAAGATTTTATTTATTCATTTGACAGAGAGAGAGAGAGAGAGAGAGAGCGAGCACAAGCAAGGGGAGCGGCAGGCAGAGGGAGAGGGAGAAGCAGGCTTCCTGCCAAGCAGGGAACCCAACGTGGGGCTCAATCCCGGGATCATGATCTGAGCCGAAGGCAGACGCTTCACAGACTGAGCCACCCAGGAGCCCCTCTAACTCCTGTTCTATGGGTCTGAGTTCCTGCATATCACAGTACTAGTGTGCAGGCTCCTGCTCTGGGGGTGGAGTAGTGAGGACAGAATTCTCATGGTCCTGAGTTGCCTTCATATTATTTGGGGGGATGTGGCAAAACTGACACATGACATTTCATAAGTGTTAGGGACTGAATGGTCACCTTTCCCAACAAATCATGTTGAAATCTAATCCCCAAGCTGCGGTAGTATTTGGAGACGGAGGCTTTCGGAGGTAATTAGCTCCTAAGGGTGGTGCCCCCGCGATGGGATGAGTGCCCTCTAAGAAGAAAGCTGGCAAGCTGTCCTGTTCTCTTTCCACCCTATGAGGGCACAGTGAGAAGTCAGCAGTGTGGAACCCCGAAGAGGGTTTTCACCAGAACCTGACCATGCTGGCACCCTGGTCTCAGAATTGCAACCTTCAGAAATGTGAGAAGAAAAAGTCTGTTGTTTGTAAGTCACTCAGTCTATGGTACTTTGTTATGGCAGCTGGATTGAAGACAATAAGCTTAACAAAGAGAGTGTGCAAATGAATGAGAAAAATAGTTTCTAAATAGGTGAGTGGGCAAAATTTATGAAAAACAGTGAATAAGGAGGAAATCTTACTGGCCAACAAACATATGATAAAATTCAACTTAATTAGTAATTAAGGAACTCTAAGTAAGACCAATAATGCATTACCATGATGCTCATCAAATTGACAAAGATTTTTATTTATTTCTTTTTTAAGATTTTGTTTATTTATTTGACAGAGATCACAAGTAGGCAGAGAGGCAGGCAGAGAGAGAGAGGGGGAAGCAGGCTCCCTGCTGAGCAGAGAGCCTGATGTGGGGCTGGATCCCAGGACCCTGGGATCATGACCTGAGCCGAAGGCAGAGACTTTAACCCACTGAGCCACCCAGGTGCCCCTGACAAAGATTTTTAAAGGGCCATACTTAATGGTGATGAGGGATGAGATGAGTACATTCATACATTTTGGGTGGATATGGAATCTCTACGACTTTCTGGGAAATCGATTTTGGTATGATGAATCAAGAACTTCAATCCATTTAATCCAGGATTTCTTTCCACTTACAGGAATCTAGACTAGAGAAGTGATTTATGAAATGTTGACTGCAACATTATTTGTAAAATTAAAATACTGGTAAAAGCCAAGAGCTCCCAAATAAGGAAATTGTTCATTATGTGTATCCTGCCAGTCTCCCCTTGCTCACCTCACTTCAACCACATGGCCCTCTCTGCTGTGCTGGGAGCAGAACAGGCTTAATCTAGCATTAGAACAACTGTTCTTACTGTTGGCTGTCCTTGGGATACCCTTCTCCCAGATATCTTCATGGTTTGCAGCCTTCCCTCATCCAGGTCTTTGATCAGATGTTATTTTGTAAGTGACAACCTTTTAAAACCTGCACCCCTCTACCATATTCCTCTTCCCATCATCATTTTTCTCCTAGCCCTTAGCCCCCT